AAATATAAATTAAGAAATCTTATCTAAAAAAACTATCATAATGAATTAGTTTATCATCGATTTTAAAATTATATTTAATAAATATGATTGTGATAATTTAAATAAAAATATAATTTATGTTAGAGCTGAAAAGTAAAAATAAATTGAGTGAGAAACAGTGAAAAGTGTGATAATGATGCCTCCAATCATACTAATCAACCATAACACTCGGGTCAAACAACACAATTCTTGGTCGGTTAAAAGATAATATAATGAAATCGCCCTTGGTTAAAATGACAACATGTGTTATCCCACAACGGAGGAATCCAACCAAAATCTTCCACGTATAAAAAATGGCCACATTTTTGCATGTATAAATAAAAGATAAGTTTGTGAAATTAGTGATCCCAAAATATATCTCGGAGAAGTCTGCATCGATCAATTTTGTTTTGTTGAGTGTATAAATTGTTATTGTATTTTAAAAATATATATATTTAATTTATAATTTATTTTTTAAATATATATATATATATATATATATAATTATTAGTTTTTTTAAATTATGGTTTATATATTTATATTTATTTTAAGTCAAGAGTTATACATTTGTTGTCTTCAAAAATCTCAAGTATCTACGGTCGTGACATTAAATTTAATAATTATATATAATATGTCATTGTTTTAAAAATTTGATACTATAAAATAATATTTTTTTATTGATATGATTTATTAACTTTAAATTAATATAATATATAAGTCTTAATCTTATGAAATTAATTAGATAACTAATAATATTATACGTATATTTAAAAAATTAATTATAAACAAATACATGTTTAAGCTATTGATTATAAATTCTGAAATATAATTATATTTAAAAAAGTTATATTTGTAAATTTTTTGGATGAATAATTTAAATTTTTTTAAGTTTTGAATTATAAAGTCTGAAATATAATTTTATTATTCCAAAAAGTTGTTGGAGAGTTAAATTCCATATGCATGATTTAAGTTTCAAATTCATTCATCTAAAAATATTTTAAAATTATCTTTTTGAAAACTTTTCAGAAGCATTCTAAAACCAACTTTCCGCTGGAATAATATCTTTAAAGGTATTCTATATTGAACTCTTCGAAAGTTTTTTGGAAATATTTCTGAATAATTTTTTAAAAATATTTTTGAAAACCTAGTTCTAGACTTTAAGAAAGAATGAATCCAGACCTTAAATCATATATTTCAAAAACTATTTATGGATTTAGCTTTCCAGAAATCTTTTGAAAAAGTGAATTCATAACCTAAACCATACATTAATTTTAAAAAATTGGATTTAATTTTTTGTTAAAATATATATATATATATATATATATATTATTTTATTTTTTTTCACATCCATTCATTTACATTTTTTACAATGAAAATAATATTATCTTTTAATACAGAGTTTATTTTACAATAAGAATAATATTCTGTTTTTGGATGAATAGTAGGTTTGGGTGGCGAAAGAAAATTCCTAAAAGTATGGACTCAAACTTAAATACATATATAGAACAAATTTGGGTTGGGGATGCTATTGGATCGGAAATTTACATGGAGTTATTTTTACAGAACAAAATTTTACATCGAAAATTTATTCAGGCGGTGGAAGAGTTTAAATCGTAACTTGGGTGCCTTTAGTAAAGGCCCAACAAGTTTAGACCCATTCACACAGCATATTTTTGATCCACAGAGAAGGCAATACCAATGAACACTAGATTAACAGACACGTTTATTCTACACTAAACAAGTCAAAATAAAGCATAATTTTCTCAATCAAATGGATCATTTTCCTAAAAACAACATTTTCATGGTCACAACTATAATTTATGTCACGTCTATCTCTGTCTCACTGAAAAATTATGGCGCTTATTCGTCCCTTTATTATTGGAGTTCCTTCCTCATTTTCAAGGATTCAGGTTCAGAAATTACAAGAAAGGAAGGGATGTACGGTAAAACTGGTAGAAAAAAACGAATATAGAAAACTGTCATTAATGGTAGACAAAATAAAATTCTTACTAGGGTTTATTTCAAGTCAATTGTTTTATTTTTGGAATAAAATTATTGGAAATATAACTATGAGAGTGATATTCTTTAATATTTTCGTTAAAAAATGTTTCGCTAATATGTACAATTTTTTTGGAATTTTTTTTATATTATCACTAAAATAAAAACATGTACTTATAATCGGAAAACAAATAATGAGGAGTAAGATATATTACCATTTTCATTTTTTGTATAATTATATTTGAATTATTTATTTCATAAACAGTAATCAAAATGAAGAAAATCATCTTCTTTATAAACTAAAATCAATTTATATATAAGTTTAAAATAATTTAAATAATACATGACGAATCTTTAGAAATTAATTTATGTACAAACTAATTTTTATTTTAATACGTGTAAAAAAATTTATCCTAAATACACTGTTGAAGAAATATATAAATCTAATTTCCTACATTTTTCTTATCATATTAAAATCTACTGAAAATGCGACTAAAAAAATGTGCTAAAAATATTTTTATTTTCACATCTTCATAAAATATATCTTTAAACAAACACTTTTAAAAATAATATATCTCTTGAGAGGGAAGACAAAGCTTTAAAAATGACGGTTATAAAATTCAAATTTCAATATCTTTGTAAAATATTATAGATATATTTAAGCATAATTTTTTGTTATATTTAATTTCTATTTAAAATACGCTACACTCTCCAATTTCTGAGCATTAAATTAAATTAAATCAAATCAAATTATATTAAATGAGTGTTAAATAAAATACGCTCCATTTGTCGTGTCCAAAATAAAGTATTAGTTGATTTTGGAAACGTTTTGACTAACTCGACCATGATATCAATATCAATCTTCAAAAGCTTCAGAGTATATAATAAGCTTCTGGAGATGGGCAACCTATTTTGAATCTCAAGAATTTAAATTTCTTTCTTTCTTCAATCTTCTTCTCAATTTGAACTCAAAATTTTTTTTTGAAGAATGAAACAATTGAAATTCAAATAAAAAAAACATGAAACCACACATTTAACGAATAACAAATTGGATAAACATAACCAATAATAGAAAGCATGAACCTTTGAAAGAAACCCACATATTAAAAAAAAAAAAAGAGTAATTTTATTATTGACAGTATAGGTTTAGAGCAAGATTTTTTAATTTAAGATCATTTGTAGTTTTATACAAATCTGATTTATTACTTTTTTTATATATATATTTAACTTTAAGACGTCGTTTAGTTTAATAAAGTGAACTAAGGAAAGAACAAAAAAAAAATTTTAATCTATATTATTTAGTTGCGATAAAAATAAGAGGAAGAAGATATTATTTTTCTATTTATCTGAGGAAGAGTAGAGAGAGAATAAAATAAAAATTACAACAATTACTTTTGAAAAAACATTTTATCCTCTTCCTTTTGGTCACTTTTGGTTTCGCATGACAGATTTTAGAACAAGACTAATACTCCCTCTCTATGTATTTTTTTTGGTTTATAAAGATTCTGAATATATATTTTTTCTAAAGTGTGACATGTAGTTGACGTTAAAACATGAAGAAAGAGTCGTATGTACATGTCATATTGATTTATAAGATGATAAAGTGAATGAAGCTAAATGGTGTGAATTATAAGCAACCTATAGAGTCAAAATTTTGAGTTTTATATCTTATCATTTTTCAATTGTTACATAATAATTACTAGGGGAAATTACTTTATGGATTTTGCTAACATTAATTTTGAAATTATTTTAAGCAAGTAAAAGCAAAACATTTTTATTAAAAACATAGTTATTACATTATAAATATAAAAAAAGTTGTTAGATTTAAAATATATTAATAAAACAATTATTTGTTTTTAATATTCAAAATTATGAAAAATATTGTTTTAAACCACTCATCTTCTTATAAATTAATCAAGAAGAGGGTTATTTATTTCCCTCTTTTCATTCACATTTTTCCTCTTAGATAAATATAATTTTTAATTATTATTTTTTATTTCTCGTCACCTTTGTCTTCCCTCTTATGTACAAGGGAGCATTCTTATAAGAATGATGTTTTTTTCTCTACAAGACTCTTCTTTATCTCTAGTCTCCTCTAAGACTAGTAAGTAATATACGGGCCAAAAATAATAAAAATTTTCTTTTTTTTTGCAATTTTATAACTTCTCCATCACTAAAATTTGTCTCAAACTCGAAAACTACTATACTGTATTATGTTGTACGTACTCTTGGTGTATGGTTTATATATCATGCACACTGTAGATATCAGGCTAAACAAACGGGGCTAATACGCAAAGGGTCAAAACCTATAAAGAGGAAGCTCTTTAAATATACTAAAAATAGACAAAAATCCCAAATTACATATATTTCTTCCATTAACATCCCATAGCTGAGGATTGAAGTGTTTTTTCAGTCACACCCACAAGTATTCGAGTATTCGAATTTTGGACTACATGGATCTCGACATTATGTGTAATTAACATTTGATTTTAGGTTTAAGTTCTATATATTTCTCCATGTAATTGCTATCATATGTTTCAGTTCTCGACGTGAATAGGCTGTTAGCGGCAACATGTTTTATTTTGTGTGGATAAATTAATTTTTGTTTTGTATGTTGAGGAGAAAAATAAAAAGTGTGGTTATCAGCTTTAAATCTACAAGTTTAGCCTGCTGTATTTTTGCGGTGTTTTAGAAAAAAACGAGGAAAAAGATACAAAATCATAGGTAGTCACTAACTACTATTGAACACAAAAATGCCGTGAATATCTGTGTACGTTTGTTTGGGCCCAAGTTGAAACTTCGCCGCGGCCTTACGTTGTTGTGCAAGGCGAGGCCACCCTGTCAACACACAACCTTGTTATTTACAAATTTCAACTTTTCTCTAACCTCTGCACTCTCTTTGCTATGCTATATATTTAGCTTTATAACACTCCCAATATTCATCCATTCCATAACTCAACAACTTTCGGAATAAACACTCCACCATGGGAGAAGAGCTCTCCAGCAAAATCGAACCTGAGTTACACTCTGTTGTTCAGGACTCTGTTCCGGAAGAGCATAATCCTCCTCTTCAGGAAAAAGAATCACATAAACCTCACCCTCCAAGCCAGAACGTCACTACTACTTCTCCACCTGTTCAAAGTAAATTTTTAACTCTTATTTCACATCATACGTCTGTGATGCATGACTTCGTGTTCTGGTTATTCAAAAGACAAAGAACGCTTCTTGCTAGTGTTTCTATCAACTCTTTTTGGTGATTAGCGCGAGATGGAAGCAAAATTGACGATCATGATACTTTCTCTTTGTTTACACGTGTTTTGATCCGAGTTAGTTAGAGTTTGAAGAAGAACTTGCTTATGCTTCGTGTGTTTTGATTTTATCTGCCTCTTTCTTTTGAAAATCTTTGATTTTATCTGCCTCTTTCTTCTGAAAATCTTTGATTTTATCTAGTTTGTTAATTTTCTTTGTTACCTATTTGAGTATGTTTTTGCTGTTTGAGCATGTTTTTGTTTCTGATTTTGGTTGCCATAAAAGTTTTTTCCCTCGGAATGAATTTCAAGATTTCTTGGGTATTTTCAGTTGTACAATAAAAGGAAAGTAATTCTTGCTTCCTAGTATTTATTTATCTCTAGTGGTAGAGTATTCTATAGTGTATAGTGGGAAATCTAGAAGAAATTTAGAAACTTATTTATTTATCACTGGCAAATTTGCCATTTCCGTTTGTAGTTGAGATTGGCTAATTCGGTTAAAATTCCTTTCTCAAGCAGAACACATTTACTCCGTGTTGTTTTAATGCTGTTCATTCTCTCCATATTGTTTTTCGTAGAGGTTGAAGACCATGCTGCTGAAAAAGATACAGAGGATTTAATCAGCAGAGGTCATTACTCTCTTATATATTTTCATATATCACTTATTGAATGTTCAAGAGATTAGTTTCATTTTTTATATTGTTTCACCAGATGCTATGCTTGCAAGAGTTTTAACAGAGAAAAGATTGGCTTTGATTAAAGCATGGGAGGAAAGTGAAAAGACAAAAGCAGAGAACAGGCAAGTATTCATCTTAAATAATCTACGAATAACCATTTATCTAACATAACATTGCTTGTTGCTAATCCAAATCAAAGATTGGAGACTCTTTTATCAAGGCATCCTACTATTTTCGTTCATTCATTGGAAATTATAAAGATTAAAGATTCTTTTTGTTCATTCACTAGAAACATGCTTTATAAGAAAATGTTTGTTTACCATTTTCACGTGTAGTCTGGAGCTATTTAGTGCCATTGGTAAATGCAATTTTTCGTTATTGAAAACGCTTTAAATAACTTAATTCTCGGGTAACTCTTTAAATTATGGCATTACTTTGCTTCAAGTCTCCTCAGTTTTGGAAAGAAGTAAAATTGTTTCTTGTATGGTATAGTGCCTTGTGAAGTTTCTTTGCATTTGCATGACTTTGAAGTGTGGAATGGACCCAGACAAGATGAAACTAAAGAATGTGTACAAGAGACGTGAAACTTATTCGATCAAGATACATATGTTTACTTTTGTACAAGTGTCGGTATCAGATGTTGGATAAAATCTCAAATTTCATTATCATAACTGAAAGCTGAGTTTGCTGAAATTGGAATGATCATACAGGGCATACAAGAAGCACTCTGCTGTTGAGTTGTGGGAGGATACGAAGAAAGCATCAGTAGAAGCAGAACTCAAGAAAATTGAGGTGATTAACTGCATGTACATAGACACTGTGATTGTTCGCTTTTTACCATGATATTGAATTTGTGTTCAATAATCGTCACTTATTGTCCCGTACATTCTACTTCAAAAAAATGTTTTCAACAGGAAAACTTGGAAAGGAAGAAGGCTGAGCATGTTGAAAAAATGAAGAATAAAATAGCTGAAATTCATCGACTAGCGGAAGAGAAAAGGGCAATTGTTGAGGCTCAGAAAAGGGAAGAATTCCTCGACCTGGAGGAGACAGCTGCAAAGTTTCGTAGCCGTGGAGTTACGCCAAGGAAATTCTTTGCATGCTTCAGCGCCTAAGATTTTCAGGCAAATCAAGGACCAAATTCTCGCTGGATTTGTTATATGTTGTTACTTACAGATTTAAATTTTGCTTGGTGTGCTGTTATTTCTGATGTACTATTGGACGAGGACAAATTTGCATAGAAATAAGGGAAGAAGAATTTGTCTCTTGCATACTTATAGCTGTTCCATTCTACTGTTCAAATATGTGACTTTTTTAAGTAATTATAATCATTCTTTTACCTGTCAAACTTTGTCTTCAAATAATTGCATTTAAACGTTATATTAATCATATAATTACTAATTACAATTTTAATAATAATATTTGTTATTCTTTTAATTAAATCACTTATATAAATTTTTATTGTTATATAAAATGTTGTACACTTTTAATGTTCAAAAAGATGTCTCAGTATTTAATTATTAGTGTTACATGATAAGAAGAAAATTGATAATATTTTTATGCATTTTTGTTCTGTTTAAAATTGTTGTTGAATGACTTAAATTAATAGAAAATAATTATTAAATAATATAATAAAATTTGTACCATGTAATTTTTGTATTACAATATTAAATACATAAAGGATATATTTACAAACTAAATATTAAAATAAAGATTAAATCAATATTTTAAAATATTTTAATAAACTAATACACTACATTCGGCTTAGTGACCGGTTCTTTTTTCAAGGAAGTGCCTGAGAACACTGGTATACATGCTACTACATTTTCACATAAGCTAAATGACAACACTCCAAGTTCTCATCGGTCTAAACTCTATCTATTAATCAAAATGACAGTTTTATGGCATACATTTTTATGTGAGTGAAGCAAGGAAGTGCGCGCCACTGTAACGCCTTTTCAATTTTAGCCATTTAAGAAAACATTCTGATACCGCATTGCCTTTAATAATCATTAATCCTCCTAGATACTGTACTAAAAAACCATGAGTTAAGCAACTGAAAAGAAATTAAACTAGTTACAAAATTTTTGAAGACGAAGCTTTTGAAAAGGGACTGCTGAGGCTTTGAAGAGGATAAATTCAATGGTTGCCGAAACAACTTAGTTGGATTGGAACAAATCATTGTAGTTGCTGATGTAGATTGTAATAATTGATTCATTTGATGGGTAAAAATTCCTGGGGCAAATGGAACAGCCGCTGAAAGCAAATTTTCTAATAAAAAAAATTAAACTAATCCGAACACAACCTTAGCCTTTATGTGAAAATGAGTCAGACTTCAGGGATACAATATGCATTTGACTCTTCGTTTATATACTAGGCAATAAACCGAACTACAGCCTTAGCGTATAAAAAGTTAGAAAAATGAAAAAGATTTGTTAACAACTGTAGAAAATAACAACGAGAACTTATAAATATTTTTCACTCTGGTAATTGATAGTGCTTGCTAACAAGGTTAGCCGTCTACCCTTTTGTTTGGCCATCCTTGCCTTTTGGCCATAGAATCGTGTCTAAGTGTAGATAGAAAAAAATGCCCTGAATTTTATGTCAACAATAAAAGAGGCCATATCCATCTGAACTGACATGAAGACTTTTTAACCACATGTTTTATGTCAACAAATGAGCTATATGAATTCATTCACCACTTGTCACTTGTTCCTTAAATCAGGAATTGTTTTAATTCTGAAAAAGCTCCGGAAGATGGGCATTGGTCAGCTTGGTCCTCTTAGTGATTTCATTCTTCTTCTTCTTAGGTTTAGGCTTTGTTGAAATGCCTTCCATTTGCGCTGCACTCCTTCTCTTTGCAGTGTTGGTAGCAGGCTTCATTCCATTTTTTTGTAGATCCCTCTCTATGTCAATCATATCACGGGGTAACTCAATCCCCCGGAAAAGCTGTTTTAGGTCATCATCCACCTTAACGGGTACTTTAGGATCATTTGGGTAGGCAATGTCCTCTTGTGAGTCAAAGTTGGATAACAGCCAAACCTCCCTTGAAGCTTTCAAAGCCTAAAAACCAACAATTTTATAAGGTCTTGTTCCATAAGAAACCAATTAGTTAACTAACTATTGCCTCCTCACTAACTCTACAAAATGACCCCTCAGCAATATAAATCATCTGAGTATTAAATATTGCATATCAAATTTTGTCAAGTAGTTTCATTTCATTCTTTAATATTTCAATAAAAAACACCACAACGTTCACTCATGTATTAATATTATGTTAACCTCTAAGCAGAGCAATGGGCGAACTATATGTAGCATAACATACCAGCAACAATGGCATGATTCAATTTTGGCAACCTGAGGTTGATAGAAAGGGGTAAAACGATTTTAAGAATTTATGAATGCTTAGTTTTAGTGAATAAGCAAATTAGTCCAGAATCCAGATCACATTTGGTTCCCCCCAATTTTCTAGTTTGGCACCTACACTTAACTGACATGAACAAATTTTAAAGTTATAAGATTCCAAATTAGATTCTAGTATGAAGTAATTTTGGCTTTCCACCCTTCTATTTTATATACTCATACCAAGATGGCATAAGCAAAAAGTGTGAACCATATCTGAACACTCAATTTTTCAACCATGCCCCCATTGTATTCAAATCAATATACATAAATTTAAAGTATGAAAGACAACCCTTGAGCCTATTATGGTCTCTTCAAGTTATGTTGACTTAGCATAACTTCATGTAGATTTAAGGAGTGAAAATCTCACTATGTTAAGTATTTTGTAAATTAGACAGAACGTTTTTTTAAATAACTTCTTAGCTTTTTCATATCACCACAAATATGAACGTGCCTAAATAGAGTTTCATTACATGAAAGAGATAAACTTTAAAGTACAAATTTTAAAATAAATGAAAAAAAAAAGATAAACTATTTAGAATGTACCTCAAAGCACAGATAAAGGGTGCAATATTTATTTAAGCGAAGACAACGGGTAGGTATAACCAGTTTTTAAGCTATATTTATTTATACAATATTACTTTGTCCCCAAAAACATTCATTCTTATATCCATCCCTTATGTTGCCAATAACATTTGATATTTGAACTTCTTTCCCAGGTACAGTGATTAGTGATTTTAGCACACATGATTCATCCAAATATTCAATATGTGCACATGTGCACGGGAAGAAATCAAATCTGTGAGATATGAATATCTTCTGGACGAGCCAAGGAAAATATGGGAGTGGAACATATATCTATAATTAAAATCCCACCAATGCCACTGAGAAATGAATGCCAATAAATTTTATACCTGCAAGTCTTCCATCACAGTTGGGTAAGAATCTTTTAGGTCAACAACAGCAATGCCCTCTGGAAACTTACGTACCAGGAAAAGCAGCTGACTTTTATCCCTAACATCATGCTTCGACTACAGACAAAAAGCAACGCCAAAATCACAAACCAAACTACGGCCCTAAAACTGAAACTCATGAAAGTGTATGTACAGTACATATACATGTTAATAAGTTACCTTGTAAGAGAATCTTTCCCCATCATATTTTACTTTTGGGTTTTTCCTCATACTCTCGAAAACATCTTTATTAGCTCTCATGTCCACGTAACACGCTTCATTTATTTGCTCCATTGTTAAAGCCTTTCTGGTCTAGAAAACAAGTACAAACACAAACACTAAGCATCAATGACACTCGCTAACCACCATTTAGATAATTATCAACCACAAAATTACTTACAGAAGGCTAAAAGTAAAGCATATACAATACATCATGCTTTTCCCAATAATCAGCAACGTAATATTAAAATTACTGGTCAAATGCAAACTGTGCCCATAGGACACTGGCTTATTGTGATTTTCAATGCATTCTGAGTGTGAATTCTGATAATGGCTTTCTATTTTGAATTTCTAAGCTAATGTCTTTGGGATACTGGTTAGTAAGATCCTTAAAATTAAGCATTTTTTGAGACAAATGTCTTTGACGATAAGCAATCTTACTCAAGTCAATAAGGACAAATATGTGTTCCGAGAATAACCCAGTTGTATATTCGTCATTGCCGATTAAGCATTTTTTTCACTTTTCACCAGAGACAATCCTAGTTAGTTAGGATCTTTATGAACTCTGAGTATAACCTAACTATATATTCGACACTGGCCATTAAGCATTTTTTAGAGACCACAAGGCGAGAGGCACTACTACTTGAGTCCGTTAGGATCATTATGGGTTCTAAGCATAACCAGCTATACACTCAACACAGCAGATTAAACAACTTTTTAGAAATCACAATTATCTTCCATGAAAGACAATACTACTTGAATCACTTAGGATGATCAAGGGTTCTATGTGCAAACCTTTGACACTGCTTAATAAATATCTTTATTTAGAAATCACAATCTTTCCCGAGGGGCAATCCTACATGGTTAGACAATTATGGGTTCTGAGTATAACTTAGCTGTACATATGCCACTACCGATCAAGCTAGAACAACTTCATACCTATTGATCCATTCAGTCTTCAATAAGCATTCATAAACCACGAGGCAAATTTTATGATAATACAGAAAGTATGGAATGGAAGAATTATATATACCTCAAAAAGAAGATCAATAACACGCTTCATCTGAGCCCCTACGGGGGCTTTGCGTATGCTATTAACATGTTGAAGCCTTTCCGTATCTTTAGAGAATTTGACAGCACCTGGAGTTCTTCCATTGTTTGAAGCAGAGGAATTCTTCTCTGGCTGCCTTTTAAACCTGTTTCCCTTTTCCTGAAACGCCATCTGACAAAAAGTAATAGTAATCGCAGCACAAGGTTTTACTCTCAGATTTGCAAATCGATCAACAACGCGCTAATATATTTTCTTTGTCTACTCCTCGTGTATTATTTGGGGAAAATGCTTAATGAATATATTTTATTGTTCCTGGATCCAAATTGGAAAGGGAATCGAAGTGGTGGTTAGTGAATTTTGAAATACAAAAGTTGGAGAAACCTAATCGGTGATGGCAGGGAATTGGATTTGGGAGGGAGAAGAGGACATGAGCGTGACAGGTTTTTCTCCTCCGGAAAGTAAATCAACACGGATATTAGAAGGTTATGCCATATATAGTACTCCGTTTTATTTCGGCGCTGCGTCGTGCAGTATTTATCTGGGAAAATTGTTTTTTTATCCCTTGTAAATGATAAATGAAACAAAAGAAAATGAAAATAATATTGTGTGTTTTTATTTTTTTTATCCCTAATTATCTTATACTTAGGAGAAGCACGTTAGTATCATGTGTAGTTTTTTTTTTTAATATAGTTTTTAATTTTATTATATTATTTATTTTTCAATATTATATATATCACTTTTATATTTTTTTACTCTATATTATTTTTTCGTTTTTATTTTCTGATAAGATCAAAAGTAATTATAATTTTATTTATTTATTCCTTTTGTTAATTTTTAAGGTATCTTTATTAATTTTCTACTAATTATACATAATACATTTTTGTGTTGTAGCGAGTATAAATGTCACCTACTAACTTCACAAAAAAAATTCTTAAAAATCTATAAAAGATAAAATGAAATGAAAATATAAAAGTCATTTTAGAATATAAAATAAAAAAGTAGAATTAAGAAAATAAAAAATAAGTCACTTTTTATATTGTCTTAATTGCTTTTTTCTTTATATGTTTAATCAAGTATCTTTGTTTCATGTAAATTATTTTTCTATTTCCATTTATTTTATGGGAGAAGGATCAAACCTATGTTCCCTGGGTTGTTTGAGTTGGAAGACCCATATGATTCACAATAATAATTTTTCATTATATTTATTACATCAAATTTTCTTGTATTTCAATTTATGATTTTTTGGTTAAATTGATAACTCACCCACACAATATCTTGACTAAATCAAAATTAATTTGATTAAATTGTAACTCAAAATTAATCTTACTTATAAATTTGAATAAGGGAATAAGATTACGTGTGAATGAATCCATTTTTATATTAAAATTAAAAGTTAAATTTCAACTTGAAAATATAAAAATATTTAATATTGAGTAGTATATTAATAAAAAAATGTTATTACTTTTACAATTTAATAAATCACCTAATTTGATAATCAATAACGAGTGGAATTAAATTTAAAAAGTTAATAAAAAAACTAATATATGTTTAACTCAATCCATAAATTAATCAATCTGAATAATAATTACTCTAATCTTAAGATCCCTAATTGTATTTTCATGCTGTTTTAAAAACTTGAAAAAGAGACTACCCTAATTATCTGTCAGTTCCATGCTGGTTTCATCAGGATAAGATAATAAAGATGTAAAATAATTAAACATGTCACTTAATCCTCTTATTAATACCCTCATTGCCATCTTTACTTCCTAATTTTAATGAATCATTAATCTCTTGGGTTTCTTTACTCTTTTCAAAATAGTTTATAGTTTTTGAAAGTTATAAAATTTCTTTAATAACTATTTTTTTTAAATAGTTTTTAGTTTTTTTAATTAAAAAACCAAAACCATAATTTTTTTATTAATAAATATTAATATTTCTATCAATAATTATATTAGATTATTATTTTTATCATTATAAAATTATTATATATTTTTTAAAAAATAATTTTTAAAAATTATTTGAAATTATTTTTAGAAACCGAAAAAATAAAACTAAATAAAAGTTTGTTGAATTATCTAGTAATAATACAGTTCCGCTGTCTAAAACAGTAAAACTAATTCGAGCATTTATGTTGACTATGGTGAATAAACTGAGAAATTCACTTATTTTTGTTTTAAAAATATTTAAACTATCTATTATTAATTTTATTAAAAAAAAAAAACTTTTTGATGGTAAGAGTGAGACTAAGATGTGTTTGTATTTGTTTGGTATCCTCCTTCTCTCATATAAATTAGTCCCCAATCCCAATCACTCAGCTCTGAAGTTGGAAGAGTGTTGAACTGTTGACGACCTCAGCTTTGCAGTCTCCGATCCATGGATTAGGTAACTATAATTACTTGCTTCCACCAAGAAGATTTAGGATTCTGATACAGCGGTCTCTGATTTTACTTTGACACATTAATTTGAGCCAAAATGATGCGTAGATCAGGAGAATGAAAATCTTCTTTTCTTACTAGCTATTCTACTCTGTCAATCCCCATGATAAAGAGTCTAACCTAGAAAGGAAAAATTGTCAGAGTGTTGGTTGCCTCATCTTATGTTCAAATGCGGTGTACTAAAGCTGATAGTCTAGACTCTTCTTCAATTTTCTTTATTTTACGCGAAATCAACAATTTACGCATACGATCATGGTTGGATGCATCTTGCATGCTGTAAGTTGTTATTAATATACAAAAATAGATTCATAATAGATAGCAATTTATATATATATATATATATATATATATATATATATATAGAGAGAGAGAGAGAGAGAGAGAGAGAGAGAATGGTTGTACTATCTGGACGAGGAGCTGAACTACCATCGGCGGTAAACTCTAATCTTTTAGTTTATGACTATTTTGGGTTTTGTGGTGCATGTCCTGTAATAATCAGTTTTGAAAACAAAAGTTTAAGATAAATTTCAAGAGGTGGACAAATATTTAACTGTACTAAATGTAATTGTTGTGTTTGACTCTACTATCTATTCATTTCTCATTGACTTCAATTGTGCCGCTCGTGACTCCTGTGTAATTTTTCAATTAATCTTGAATTTGGTGGGAAATCAGCATCAAAATTTTCTCTCTTATTGCATGTGAAATTGTTATTTGACTACAATAGTAGAGGACAATGATATTGACATATTAAGGCATTTGTTCATTATCTTGTTTAATCTATTTGGTCCCTTGATTAGATCACTTGATTGTATATTTTTTGAGTAAAATCCAGTCAGAGAATCAAATTGGTAAAATATAGTATTATGTACAAATAAGATAGGAGATATTAGAATAGTTTGTCCACATCCTCTCTCCATAATAGAAAAGTTATATATTAGACCCTACCCATGCATACTACTTGAGATGAGAATTGGTTATTTTGATTCTCCCGCTCACTCTTTTTTTTTATGATGTGTATATGCTGTCACCTATCTTACGCCTGATGCATTTTGTGATTCCATCTGTCCTTCACCCTCTGCATCTTCTAATTCTATGCGTTTTTCATATTTTCCCTTTTTTATGTTTACTCATTACAATCTTATCCAGTCTTCCTTCTCTACTGCTTTTCAATAATGAGTTTCTTTTTGTCACAGCAAATGAATCCTGGATAGTAACTTACATCTTGGAGGTCAAGTTACCTCTTCTAATGTGTGCGCTGATATTGTGTCCTCCTTGATATAATGAATCACGTTGGAATGAACTTTTTGGTTTTGCCAATGGAGGGAACAACTTGTTAAACAAGGGATAAATTTATGGTTTTATTGATTGACACATTAAGCTGAAAGATTCTCATAAATAACATCACTTCTGAGAATGGGTAAAGCCCGACATAAAATGGCTGAAGCAACCAACAGACAGATCAGAAGTAGCAGAAAATGCAATTCTAAACAGGTGAGTGCAAAGTTTTAATGAATTTATATTTTGCTTTTCACATTTAACTAAACTCTTATCACTCTGTTAATGTTTGATAATTTCAGACCGTAGAGAAATCAAATGAACATCCTGAATGGTTACCTGATGGTTGGCATGTGGACTTCAGAACTCGAAAAAGTGGTGCATACATGGGATGTGGGTACAAGGTAGTAGATAGAGTCTCTTTAAGTGTGATGTAAATATTACTGTTACAGACCTTGACATCTTTGATTAGGCCATCTTCTATCTTCTGTGTTTATTTTCTATTCTTTTATTTGCCTGCAGTAAGTGCTTGTTCTTTCATAAGTGTCAGTTGCTGTTAGTTAGTAGATAGCATTGCCAGTTGTCAGCATATATCTATTGCCTTCATCAGTCCTTAAATCGATATTTGAAACATTAATAAAGATTTTCATTTAAGCATCCATTGTGATAAATTTTCTTTGAAAATGTTTATTTGGCAGCCCAAGAGACCTTTAGTTGCTCAATGCTTGGATTTTTATTGGGAGGATTATCACAGGATTATTCAGAAATATATAGAATATGGGTGGATTCTCAATTATAATTGTGTCTATCAGTATGTAAGACAATTGCAGTTGTTATCGTGATCGGCCTGACTGGTGATCAACATTGGTTTGAGCTGGTTTTTGGGACATACATTTCAATGGCATATTTAAGATAATTATAATGGTTATATTCATTGGTAAAACTGTAAATGTTATACTCTTTCGATTAATTTGAACACGTGATTTTGTACCTCTTGATATTTTATTTTGGGACATATATTTCAATGCCATATTCAAAATATTTGTAAATCTGTGTTTCTTGTTGCAGTGTTACATTGATCCAAGTGGACTCAAATTCTACTCCAAACCAGAGGTGTTACGATATCTTGAGACTATGAACAGCAACATTAACACTTCTAAGAAGAAAAAGATATGCAAAAGCAATGTTTGTATCTCTACATCTCTCATCTCTACCCTTTCATTCTTCTTTTATTGTGAACCTTAAAATCAAACCTACAGCTTTTATTTTTTCTTGTTATCATCTTTTATACTGTTGTGGTACATGTGCAATGGTTACTTACATAATTGGAATTGGTGATGTGTGAAGTTGTAGTCTCATGCGAATTAAAGATAATTAATCCAGGAATTCTGTTTACTCTATCTTTTTTATTAAAGGATCAAGCCATAATTTTAACTTGAAAATACAACCATAGCAAACAAAAAGTATATACTAAACTATGAAATAATGATGCACTCTGTAAGAAAAGAAGTGCACTGAAAAGGGAATACCAGCATTAAGGCCTACTTAGTTGTTGTTTTTTTTTCACTTTTTTTTTGTATGTTGTTGATCCGATTAGACCACGCTTCTTTTGCTGATATTTTTTGTAAGACATTTTTTAGTCCTAGTTTACCTTGTTGACTTTTGTGTATGCTTGTGAGTTGTGTCTAGTGTGGTAGTCTGTCATTGGTGCCATCAATGCCTTAGTACTTGCACAATGACTAGGTGCAGAAAGTTATTTTAATAAAAATCAAGTTGAGGTTAACTTGATTATACTTCAATTGTTTAGTTGGGGGTAATCTAGAGTCATCTTTGTGGTACCAGCCTATCACAATCATCCTCAGTATTCTGAAACATGGCTATAACTAATTATTTTGTTTATTGTAGCTGAAATTGTTAATCAAGGGTTTCTTGAATTCTCCTGTTGATTTCATGGATATTGTTTGCTGCTAGGTCTAGTGTTTATCCATAATTGGAATATTACATTTTTTACTTGTTGAACCATAAATTATCTATAAAGAAGTTACTCATGGTTGTATTTCAGTTCAGCCTATTGAGGTCGAAGCTATACAAAATGTTTTCTTAACTCAGTATTCGTTAGTTTTGAATAAATACTATATTCTATACTTCTGATTGAAAATTCAAATTGAAATAAGTTGAGTTGTTAATAGGTGTTTCTCACTTCTAAGTAATGATTAGGCAATGGAAGTACCTTTAATTTGAGAGTGTAGAATGCCCAAAAATTGAATTACTATCTTTCTGGAGTTCTTTCTTAATCATATGCAGAGAAAAACACACCACTTATCGCAGTTTTTAATGATTTGAATATCATACACTTTAATTAACATGATTTATAGTTCTTACAGCAAGTCATTTACCATTATACTCTACATGAATGTTTTGATATCAAAAGGATTATTGCAATACTATCTAAAATGATTAAAAGAACAAAGACTGGGTGTGTGACTTAGAAGCTCTCGTGCAACACTATCCAAAATTATTAAAAGGAACACATGACCCCGTGTTTTTTTAATGTTTATGGTAACATCCCTTGAAGGGGTCCAGTGTAATATATTTTTTAAAGAATTAAGGGAAGTCAATGTAATGTATGAGGTGTGTCTATATAGTGATTTTAAAACAATTAATGGAAGATAGTGTAGGATAAAAATGGTGGAGGGGTATCGGAGGAAATTGATCATTGAATAAATTTGTTTCTAGTCTATTGCATGTTATTAGAACTTGGAAGCTAATGTTATCTTGTTAAAAATGTTTTCCAATATGCACGCAGTGTTTATAGTTTTGGAAATATTATTTTAGGATGTAGTTGAGAAGTCCACTGCAGAGGATTTACCACCGGGGCAGATAACAGAAGTCAAGATAAGGAAGGGCAATAATGGCTATAGGACAGATCCGGTATTGTACCTTTCAAAATATTGTTCAAGAAAATTGAATATTGAATGAATTTCTATTTTGTCCACTGTATTAGAACTTGGAAATTATGAATTATTGTCATAAAACTGTTTTCCAATATGCAGCTTTTATAGTTTTGGAAATATTGTTTTAGGATGTGGTGGAGAAGTCCCCAGTTGAGGATTTACCACCTGGATGGATAACAGAAGCCAAGGCTAGGAAGGGTGGTACTGGTAATAAGAAAGATCTGGTATGAAATTTCATCAATATTTGACAATATACCCTTTGCTGTCCCTCTCCACTCACAAGAGGAAAATTTATTAATACAGGACTTGCTTGCAAGTTATAACTTGATTTGTTACAATAATCCTAGAAAAAAAGAAGTGGGAGTGTACTTCCTTATTTTTAGATGGAGTATTTTAGGAAATTATATTTTGAACTTCTTAAAATACTGCATGCTAACGTACTCCTAAAAACAAGTGGGAATATATTCATAGACCCCTTTAATACATTTGGAATAAAATAAAATGGATATTTATAATTTATATAATCTCTCATTTCTGTCAAACCTAGTTTTTTTTTTTTTAATTGTATTTCTTCTTTTGGGACATTTGAAATAAAATAAAACGGATATTTATAATTTATATTATATCTCATTCCTGACAAATCTAGTTATTTTTTTTAATTGTATTTATTCTTTTGGGAGGTGATTAGCAAATCGTATCTAGTGGTTTTTTTTATATCATGTTGTAATATATTGCAGTTGATAGTTTTCCAAATGTTTAGTACTTATATAAATTATCACTGGTTATACTTCCGACAGTTTTATATAGATCCGGTGAGTGGATATGTATTTCACTCCAAGAAAGATGCATTGCGCTATGTTAAGTCTGGTGATGTAAGTACGTGTGTGCTTATTACATTGATGTATGATGGATACTGATTCAGAATATAGAGATTAACTAAAACATAGGAAATTTTATTAAAACTCTTTGTCCACCTCTGGATCAATGGTATCCATTCCAAGGTCAACAAGGGCAAGAATGATCAAAATAATGTCTTAACTAGGAATTTTAGAGCCTACTCTCTCCCATCCAAAACAAAATGACTACCTAACTTCTTTCCCTTACATTCTCTACCTTTATTTATAGCAAGTTAACTAATTAACCACTCTAGCAGCTTTCCTAACAACGTCAACTCTCCACTAACACTCCCTAGGTTTCTCTTACTCGCTTTCCACATATATTTCCTATTATCATACCCCTTTCTAAAAATTTATTAAGCTCTAATACCATTTCGGACAGAAAACTCTTCTTATCCAGATGATATGAATCTTCTTGGGCATAACGCCGCCACCTCGGCTTAAAAGCCCAAACTATTAGGGCTGGCCTACTTGATTCTTAAGGCCCATTTGATGTAAAGTTTCCTAACTGGGGTCTTGTTCCTAACAACATCTCCCACTCCTATATAAATATAATTCTAAGATTCGCCTTGTTTACAAACAGTTGACCCCCAAGAATACTTACAATCATGTTGCTCTAGCCAATTGATTTGAACTTATTGACAATAGGTTCCCAGGAATGTCAATTTTTGAGATGTCTAGTTTTTTTTGAATTAATGTTGTTGTCCTGTCCTTTGTGTTAGAAATCTGCCCTAATTACGGTGATACAGGTCAAAACTCAAATTGTTACAAATTTTCTGGGAAAACTTAAATGATGTAATTGGATGAAGATCTCTATGACAACTTAAACCGTGCTAACAAAAAAAAAAAATCTGATAGAGAGGGTGTATGATAAAAACTTACACATAGATCAATCTTGTGGCTAGGAATAATGGTACATGGTGGACCACGTCAGACTTCACCTTATGATTATTATCAAACAAAAACACTCATTTTTTGTCAAAAATCACTTCTAAAATAGTATTCATATAAAGCATTTTATTATACGCCCACGTCTTCACAAAATAAAGTTTGCAAACTCTAATCAAGGCACACGCTAAAAATAAAATGTTTGCAGGGAGATATCCAAATGATTCTTCTTATATTAGTAAGTTTGGCATTAGTTTTTAATTTTATGGGTGATAGTAAACAAATTTATATGCAGAATTATATGAATCTCAGTCTGGTATTATTATATGAATTAAGCTTGTGTTCTAAACTATTAATCGAGCTAGCTATTGGATCCAGTAAAAAGATAATAAATATCTTGCATCTCTTAAAAATATTGATCGTGAAACTGATTATTAAATAAATTTGGTATTATTAGATCTTGGAAGCTGAGTTATCTTAATAAACTTGTTTTTCGAATATGCACTTTGTATAATTTTGGAAGTGTTATTTTAGGATGCAGTTGAGAAGTCCACCATAGAGGATTTACCACCCGGGCAGACAAAAAATGTCAAAATTAGGAAGGGCAGTAATACCAATAAGATAGATCCGGTATTTTACATTTTAAAATATTGTTCCTGAAATTGATTGAACGAATTTCTATTTTGTCATTGACTACTATTAGAACTTGGAAATTATATGCTATTGAAATAAAATTGTTTTCCAATGTGCTGTTTATATAGTTTTGGAAATGTTGTTTTAGGATGGGGTCGAGAAGTCCCCAGTTGAGGATTTACCACCTGGGTGGATAACAGAAGCCAAGGTTAGGAAGGGTGGCACTGGCAAGAAGAAAGATCTGGTATGAATTTTCATCAATATTTGACAAATATATGCTTTGCTGTCCCTCTCCACCCAAAAGAGGAAATTTTTCAATAGGCTTGCCAATATACTCGTTTCTATGTTTTATAAAGATTATGCTTGCATGTTAAGACTTGGATTTATTAAAATAGTCCTAGAAAACAAATGGGAGTATATTAGCGCCCACTCAGACTAGTATACTTCCTTTTGCTTTTTAGATGGAGTATTTTGGGAAGTTACAACTTGGACTTGTTAAAATACTCCCGGAGGTATAGCATGCTGACATACCGCTAAAAAACTAGTGGGAGTATATTAAAAGCCTCTTTTAATACATTTGTAAATAAAAAATATGGATATTTATATTGATATTCATATAATCTCCTTCTATCTTATTTCTGTGAAATCTAGTTTTCCATTTTGTATTTCTTCTTTGTAGGTGATTAGCAAATCATATCCAATTTGGTTTATTACTTCATAGTGTAATATACTACATTTGATAGTTTTCCAAATGTCTGGTACTAATACAAATAATGATTGGTTTATACTTTCAACAGTTTTATTTAGATCCAGTGAGTGGATATGTATTTCGCTCCAAGAAGGATGCACTGCGCTATGTTAATTCTGGAGATATAGATGCGTGTGTACTTAAACCATATAAAAGAGAAATCCAAGATGAAGACAAAATAACTGTAAGGCTTGTCTACTTAATATGAATTTCTATCTTACAATGTTTATTAACTGTTCAAAGATTGAAAGAAAGAAAACTCTGTAAATCTCATTGGATTAGTTTGAAACAATGTTATAAATCTATCCCCTGCAAAATCAACATGAGTTATTTGCAAAATTCTGATGGCTGCATGCTTATTAATTTCTATACTCAACAGAACGTGCTATGCACACCTTTTGGACTTTTTATATTAGCTTCAATGGTATTCTAATGATATATGATAGATAGATACTGGTTTGGGATATCGATATTAACTGAAAGAAAAAAAGAAGTAAATTTCATGCAAGTTCCTCCTCCAACTCTGGGACAATGGTATCCATTCCAGGGTCAACAAGTTTCAAGAATGATAAAATAAACTAACGTATTTCTTATGAATTTGAGAGCCTATTCTCTCCCACCCAACCCAACACAAAATGACTACCTAACTGCCTCGCCGTGCATTCTCTACCCTTACTCAGAACAAGCTAATTGATTAACCACTTCAACAGCTTTACTAACACTTCCCAATTATCAGGGCTGGCCCACTTGATTCGTAGGGCTCATTTGATGTAAACTTTCCTAATTGGGGGCCTGTTCCTAAGAATACCCCCCTCCAAAAAGATATAGATAACGCCCTCTCCACTCGTTTTGTCTCTCAATCTTGCTATAGAACTCATCTGGGACAATCCTATATCTCAAAATTTGTCTTTAACTGCTTGAGTGATTGGTCAGAACTCAGCAGTTTGCCCTACATTGCTGCTCGAATATATGGGGCATGATTCAGTAAAAAAAATTTCATCCTTGTTCTACACAGAAAACGGCTGCACTCTATTTTTCCTCCATCCATTCTCTGCCATTGACGGAGTAGATTTCTCCTCTACCATATCCTTCTTAATGTATCTGTTCCTCACTACTCTTCCTTTCATGATTGGTTTCTTGTCCACCACCACCGTGGTTATATTTCTTGTTCTTCAAACCTTGACTATTACTTCTGTTTTATGGCTTCATTATAGTCCCACATCTTGGACCCAACTAGCTGGTCAAAAACCATACCTGGGTTGGAATTGTTTGTGCAACACCTTTTGAAAACTTTATCCCATTATTGTTTTGGGATCGCTAGCGTCCCAAGCCCCACCACTAGTACCAGTGGTAGGCTTCTCCTTCCAGTGCTAAGCATTTTGTGTAATATGGTCCCCAAATAAATCATAAATATATATTTGTTTTTGTAGTTGGGAAATCAAGCTGTGAAAAATTAATAAATCTTGTTTTTGTTGTGCTCAATCTAGCCATCATCTACTGGCAAAAGACAGAAACTAAAGCAGACTACAGTGATGGTTGCTCCTGTTCTCCCGGGTGAACCTGTTCTCAAGAGACAACCGTTAGATAATGCAGCTGCACACACTCCTGAAATGATAAAAACATTTGATTCAGGTAGCTTAGGGGTGTTAAAATTTATATGCATGAAAGAATCAGAAAAAGTTCTCTGCTGAAGATGAATTTTTTACTTAAATCCTGCAGATGATGTGCTGCAGAAGAAACATCTTGTAAATATGCTGGACAATGCTAGTAAAAAGAATCAGAGCAACAGTAGTTTATCCAACATCAAGGAGTCAAATGTGGCTCGCCGTTTTTCACGGAGACTTTCTAGGGCTGAACCTGACAACACCTATGTGGCCAATAATGAACAGGCTCTTCAAGTTCCTGAAAGAAACATGGAAAAAAGTATAAGTGTTTTAGACACTGATTTGACAAATAAGTCATATCAGCAGCTGAATGGTTTCCTGGAAATTGAGCATTCGCATGAAAAGCAAGCAGAGGTACTATTGAACTCAAACAAATCCAGACACAAGAAAGAGCTACAGATTTTTTGTCGTGCTTCAGAACGATTAGCTGGATTTCAACCCAAGCCAATGAGCAACTCCATTTCCCACAAAAAGGCTCCCGAATATAGAAGTATAAAGTCGAAAGGTGAGGTCAAAGCAACCTTGCAGGAAAGTGAGGATCAGCCAGCTACGGAGCTGGCAGATCATGCATCAATAAATGGAGAGTCATCAAATAAAGGCAGAAAACTTCCTGAAACCACACCCATAACTAGCAATCAACTTAAGAAATTTGATGTGGAAGAAATGAATAACGATGAGAAATCAGAACTTGAGCAATCCTTTGCATTTCATTATTCTTGGTCTGACCCATGCTTAGAATTTGCAATTCAGACTCTCACAGGTGCATTACCAGTTGAAGATTCAGTTGATAATGGACATGCTAGGATTTCTGAATCTGATATATCACCCAAAAATAAGTTGGTTGAGAATGTTAAAGGAAGCAGCAGTGACGAAATCTCACGTGTAAATTCAAAGAAATCCAATAATAATAAAGAGCTTACAGTGCCAAGACGGTTGTCAAAGCGGCTTGCTGGCGACGAACCTGAGGTACTGCCTACTGAAAAACCTGTTGAATATGCCCCTCGAAAATCGTGCAGTGACAAACCAGCTACTACTGCGATTTTAACTAATGGAGTGTCTGGGCATCTTCATGCCAGTGAAGAATCCAAGCTTGTTGTCCAGGCATCGGACAGGTTGAAAACATGTGGTGAATCGCTGAGCAAGAGTGAGAAGTCATATGATAACCTAACGGTTCCCAATGAACAATTGCAGAGGCATGAAGATGAAAATGTTGATGAGGACAGATCAGATTTACAGTTCCCCACACCTTTTGGGGACTCCTGGTCAGATCCTTGCCTAGAATTTGCAATTAAGACTCTTACTGGTGCTTTGCCAGTTGATGCACCAGCCGCTGACATTTTACCTGCTGTGACTCCTGATGTTAATGATCCCCCGAATAAGGAGTCACTTGATAGTATGGAACAGATAAATATTAATGCAGAAAGTCGTGATAATCCCTACCAAACCCATACCAAGAAAGACTTTAATACTGTTTGCCAGACATTGGAACAAGTCTTGAACCAGCCTGAGGTGAGGTCCTGCTCCACAGCCTGTGCAAATGATCCTAAATTTGAAACTGAAGAGTCTTACAAGGATGGAGACAGTATAATAAAGAATTATAGTGGAAGAGAATCACAACGTATTAAAGCTGGGAACGCATTAGAAATTGATATAAACAAAACAATACTTGAAGAAGAGCCACAACCTGAAACAATAAACCATGATAACTCTGAAAGAACATTCTGTGCTTCATATATGGATTCTTGGTCAGACCCATGCCTAGAGTTTGCATTTAATACTCTTTCAGGCGCAATACCAGCAAAGGAAAATGTAACAATTCAAGCATGTTTCCAGGAACCTGCCAATAGCCATGGCCAAAGAGGAGGTGGCTCGACAGTGCCGGAATTTGGATTGTCCAGCATTTCTCATAGTGGTATCTCATTTCACAATGATGTAGGGGATAAGTCCAAGTCAGTGCAACAGTCACCAGTGAGTTCTTCTTTCCCACCCCTGGGAAAACAAGGCCTGAACGGTTTCTCGGGGGTTGCTCCTCAAGGACAATACTTTCAGAATAGTAATAATTTGCAGACAAAGTGATTTCGTAAAACATTGCTCGCTAGCCCCAGGATAAGTAGCTGACGACTGTACTTGTGTGGACACCTATATCAATGTCATTCGTATGCATCGTGCAGCTAAATTTGTTCACTTTTGTATCAATTAAAAACTCGTATCTATGTTGATTCTTAATTAGTCAACCGCCTACAGTTTTAAAAAATTTCAAAAAAATAATTAATAGGGTAGAAAGTAAAAATAAAAATAAAGTTCAATGTTATATGCGTGCACTAACAGTGTTTTCTTTGTAATTGAAATTTTTTTATTACATATGTTTACTACATATATGCTAAAATAGCTTTTTACAATTAATACATTGTAAAATATTTTTTTTCTAATTAAAGAACAATTAATATCTGTTTCTTTTCTCTTGTAAAATTATATACTAGTTATTGGTGATAATTGTTGAGAAATTTATTATAAAATTTGGTAACAAACAAGGGAAGTGTTTTACCAGAATTTTGTTTTTATTTATTCACATAAAATATTTTATTCTGCTAATCTATCCTACGATTCCACTCTTAAAAACTTTTTTTTCTTTTAAGAGAAAGGTAAACAGGAAGTGTTGATGATATGATTAAAAAGTGATAAGAAAAAAAAATATATATATATATATATATATATATATATATATAACTCTAGAGAAATTATATGTAAAAAAGAATTCTATTCAGAAAATAGTGAAAGATTGATAATAACACAAAAATCTATAATGTGAAAAACTCTTATCATTTCTACGAGGTTATGCTAACCATAAATTAAGTGCAAAGTGTGTTAATATATAGAATACTTCCACAGCAGAAAAAATACTCCAGTTTTCGTTCATTGAATTCAAAGTTTCAAACCTCATGACATAGTTATATCCCATCATCATAGACACCTATTTGCTTTCGAAAAAGGAAAGCTAATCCTAAAATGACATTCCCCTACCACGCCAAACTAGACATCTTTTTGACCTTGCCTTCGTTTACTTTACTATTTTCCAAGTCACGGTAGGGTACTGCCTGCATACATTTGATTCCATTCCACATCCATCTCGTTAGGCAATTTCTTTTAGTTATAATCCAACAATGTAATAAATAATTGATCCGTTAAAAATCATAATATCTAGCAACATATTTAAATATAAGATGACTATCACTCTTTTATGTATATTTTAAAATTTCATAAGTTTTGTATATTTTTATAATTCTAATTTTATGTCACACCAAAATTTATTTCAGTGATGAAATTTTATAAAACCAGCATTTTTATAATTATTTTATTTGTTTTAGCTTTGTACAATTTAAAAAAATTACATATTATTTATAAAATTTCTATCTTAAATTTAAGATTATAATTAAGATACTGAAAACGGTTAATAATGATCCAGCCGATCCTTTGTAGTTTTTAATATACTTTTTAATAAACTTTTATGACGATTATGCATGCTCCACGAATCCTCTCTAATACCTCAGCTTGGTTTCCATTATGGGATAACATGATTTTTTTTTTATGTTAAAATAAACATTTTCTTTTGTCTTCGTAACATGCAAGTTCTTTAGGAAGTATGTCCTCTCCATTTAAAAAAAAATATATTAAATTATTAATGCTCATGATCCGGCTGCTTCTTCGTGCAACTGTTTAATTCTTTAAACCTCAGTTGATGATAAATTGTATTATATTTATTAGATATATTAACTTAAAGCAATATGATCTCCTGCAAAAGCCGAAGATCTGCTCCTAACATCACATTCAAATGTAATTATTAAAAGACAAGCAAAATCATGACACTGTTATAATTTTGACAAAAATAATCATATCTATAAATTTAAATTGAGATACATTAAATTAGCGTATTTTTTCTGTATCAAACAGTATTTATATATTACCATTATTTTTTATTTTCAGAACTAAGAAACTCTTTAGAAACACAAAAGCAAAATGTCAAATACATAGAAAGTTCAACGATAGAGATTTCATTTTCTGAATTTCATCACACACAGCAAATCAAACACAAAGGAGGTCCAAGTTTATTGACGATGAACATCACAAATGAAGTTCTAGCAAGAACTCCATTTCCTTGTAGGCAAGCCCAGTTACTCATAATTTTTTTTTTAAATTATTACGATCGATTATGATTATTTCAATATTGATTGGTGGTATTACGAGGCATCTGAAGAAGAAGAGTATTCCCAAGAGGGCAGAAAACAACCCTGTAGTTAGAACCAGCAGGGCACGTAAAGGTGCTTGTTGGGTCATCCTGAGGGTAACTATAGGCGTCATAGCACCTGTCCTTGAAGAACTTGGAGTAGGTAGTGGGCCCGCAGGTTCCTTGCCCATTGGTGCAGCAATACTCGTTGGTCTTAAAGACAGTGCAGGGGTTGTTGCATCCCCCTTGGGCCCTTAATGGGCCTGGGCACTGCCCGTTAATGTCCGCGGTGCAACTGATTTTGTGACAGGCACCGTTCACGGGGTAGAAATCCATGGGGATGTTGAAACCGTCGACGAGGGAGATGTCGTAGAAGTCAAGGTTGTTGTATTGGTTGAGGGCGAACTCCGCCAGGGTGTTGGGAGGGACGCCCCAGCCCTGGCAGTTCAGGCCGCCAGTGCAGTCGCCCGTCTGGCACCGCCCGCGCCCGCTGCCGTCGAAGTTGCAGCCGGTGCGGCCCCAGATGCGGGCCATGGCGGTGCCCGGGTTCACCCACAGATTCCACGTCTGCCCACGGTCCAGGCGCCGCCCGCCGCCGGGGCTGGCCGCTGCCCACACCGTGTAGGGACAGTTGTTGACGATCTCGAAGTTTGCTGCGGTGGCCAGAGATAGTGAGGCGAGCATGAGGAGCGAGCATAGTGCTGTGAGGGTGGGTGAGTGAGCCATGTCTATGTGTTGAGTGTGAATTCGAAGAATGGTGTTTAGTGTTTATATAGAGTTATGGTTTAGAGTATAGTATGAATGGATTGAGAGAGAAGGGTATAGCTATTACTTTTGAATGAATAGTGTCTGTGGAAAATTGGCTTTTGAGGCGGCTATATCCATCTTCCTCATGAGGATAACCATAAAGCCCTCATTTTTTATTTTATTTTTCTTCTTCTTCTCTTTGCCTATCTTTGTCAAACTTAATTTAATACAAATTGAACGGAAAATTATTTTGTTTATATCAATAAAACTCATGAGTCACAGTCCTTCATCTAATCTAATATATTCATAGCCATACCTAATTGGCTCACTTCGTTACAAAATGTTTATAATATCTTTATGAGAGTTTTTTATTAATCTATTGTTCAAAATTAAGAAATTTTTAAATAAATATTTTTATTTTATTATTTTTAAATATTATTTTTTACAAAGAAAATATATAAGCATTATACTCTTTCTCCGATATACCAAGATAAAGTTGACCTTGAGCTAAAATACAACAACACAACAAGAAGTTTCTTTTGAAAATACTTTCTTCCCGTTATAAATTAACACCCTAATTTTTTGTTTGAGTGGGAGGGAGAAGAAAAAGAGGAGAGAAAAATAAATAAATGAAAAGTATAATTATTCGAATTAATTAAAATATGTAATAAAAATAAGTCTAAAATATATATTTCAAACATACATGAAAATATAATCTACATATATATAACTTACATATTATCGGTCATTTGTATAACATTTAAAAATTATGCAATTGCTTCTTTATGAATAGATTTTCTAGACATAATATTCATCATCATGTATTCTATTTTTTTTTCATATATATATATATACTTATGTGTGTACATGGCAATTAGGGCAAGTTGAGGAAGAGAAAAATCATCCACTCAGATATTTTAACATGAACCCCACCATTTATTTCTTCTCTTTTCTATACATTCCGTTGATCCAAACTCAATTACTATACCATATAAAATCATCTCCTTTATAATGTCATAAATAGTACATGAATGGATGAAAAAAGACATAAGACTCCAATGGCAAGAACTACTTACTGTAACGTGAAATTTTCTATAAATTTTTATTACTTATTCTGGGACAAGGAGAGCACCACATCCCATCAGAGAGAGATGTATGAAAGTATACAACAACACAATACGAATCACGAAATTAAAAAAGAAAAAAAAAAAAACAATTAAAAAATAACTATAAAGCCGGGAAGAATTAATCAAGGGCAAAATACAACCCTATAATCGGATCCTCCCTTGCAGGTGAATGTGCTGGTGGCATCATCCATGGGGTAACTGTACGCATCTGGGCACCTCTCCTTGAAGAACTTTGAATAATCGGTGGGACCGCACCCTGCAGAACCGGAGGTACAACAGTACTCTGTCGTATTGAAAACCGTGCACGGGTTGTTACAACCGCCGGGAACCTGCAGCTCAGTCGGGCACTCTCCGATGATGTTCGCGGAGCATTTTACGCTGCTACAGTTGTATGTTGGGTTCAACTGAACCGGAATGTTGAAACCATCCACCAGGGAGATGTCGTAGAAGTCGAGGTTGTTGTACTGATTCAACGCGAATTCCACCAGCGTGTTCGGGGGTGTACCGTAAGTGTTGTTGCACACGAGAACACCGTCGCAGTCACCGGTTAAGCACTTACCGCGTCCCGCGTCGTCGAAGGTGCAGTTTGTTCGGCCCCAAATGCGTCCTCCCTTGGTGCCGTTCGCAACGTCGATGCTCCATGATTCGTTAGGATTCAGCCTTGCGCCCCCGCCGGGCACGGCGGCAGCCCACACCGTGAAGTTGCAGTTGTTTGTGACGTTGAAGTTCGCTGCCCGGGCTGCGGCGACGCAGCTTATGGCGACGAAGAGAAACACTGAGAGGCTTTTGGTGATTGCCATTGTTATTGACGCGTTGATGTTTGTTAAAGGGTAAGAGGTTTTGGGTTTGCGTGTATTATTTTTATAGGGTTGAGATGTTGGGAAGCAAAATGGTTCGTTTTTGAAAAATTCATCCGGTGATGTCATGGAGAAGATATAAATTGTGGACTTTGAAGACTAGTTGTGCGTTTTGAAATCAAAATAACTGATCTGTGGAAAATTATAGATGCTTACCAAAATAAATCACGTTAATATATTGAAACGTGGTTTAAAATTGAGCCGTGATTGTGGAAAGCTAGGTAATTTAATTATACAAGGATGTCCATAAAAAAAAAAAAAAAAAAGATATTGCATTGCACCAACCAAAAGATGTTAACGAATAAATGAAAAAAAAAAAAAAAAGTTCGTTAGTTTTTGTTTAATGTCACAGTGAACATTGAAAATGGAAATACGAAAATGTGAAATCATGCCAAACTAATTTCAACACGTAAGAAGTAACTTATCCACGTACGACATTAAATTCAGAGTTTACAAAAAAAAATGACATAAAATTAAGAGTCTACAAAAAAGCGCGTATATCAATTATACAAGAAATGTTCGGAGAGCACATGTAAAATAAGCACGACCACGTAAATGATGTTACTTTATATGCATGTAAAAACTTTTATTTACTTTTTTTTATATAAGTGTAAGATTTTTTTATTTTCATTTAAAAATATCATTAATTACCCGTTAATGTTTCCTAGTCAATAAATATTAATTTCATGAATTCTGTAACTCACCTAAAGATATGACAAAATCACTAGTTGCAACTAACAAATACCTCTCATTTATTTTCTCTTTTTATGGAATAGCAAAAAGAAAAAAAACATCACTTAGCTGGAAGTGGCATCAATTATTTGGGTGAAAAAAAGAAAAATAAAATAAAATGTACAAATTTTAAACATACAGTTCTACAAAATATAAAATATTGATGAATGTAATGACACCTTTTTAATTATGTTTATAGAATCAGGAGGAGTGATATTTATCTTCAAAGCATAGTCTTTTAAGTTCTATTTTTTTTTTTTTTTTGTGAGACTAGTCCTGTTACATTAATCTACTATAATCTGAAAATTATCTGTGAGAGTTTAATTGTTGCAACAAGAAAGCAACACATTTGGGGTCAAATAAAGCTCTCAATTCATATACGAAATCTCATGTTGGCACGTTGCTCCTTGTGTATATATATATATATATATATATATATATGGTTTTAACATTTCATTTTCATTTTTAATTAACTAATTCAAATGGACGCGGTAAATATATATATATATGTGTGTGTGTGTGTGTGTGAAAAGTCAAAGTGATGTTTGAATTTTTTATAACACTGAAGGTTGAAAAAAAAAAATGCTGAATTTAGGTACGAGATCTAATAAAAGTCAATTACAAAACATGGGCGAAAGTGTTGAAAATCTTATTCTTAAATAATCATAGTTTCTTTCATCTTAATCTTCTAGATTTGGTAAATTTTGAAGTTTCATGGCTTATTTACTTGCGTGTAGAGAGGGATTAGAAAAGTCCAATTTTTCCTATCCCCCTTCGGGCCTCCACTACACTAATACAGGCCCATAATAAAAATATGGGCTATATGTACTGAAAACGATCCAGGCCATTGAAAGTGCCTATTTTATCTTCACATTTTTTTATATTCTTTTCCCAATAATGGTTTTCCTTCTGTTTAATAAATTAAGAAAATAAGTCACTACTTTACAGTACACAACTGAAGTTGATTCCATTGTGCCTTATGAAATGGGGATCTCTTTCTTACTATTTAGAATACACTACAATAATTAATTTTCGTTATGTATATTGAAGAAATGGATAAAATAAAATTATAATAAAAAAAATGCTATGTTTCATTGAGAAGAAAATGAGACAACCAGAGTACAGAAAATAAAAGAAGTTATTTTGTAAGATAAAATAATAAAATAAATAAAAGTGAGAGATCCTCAGTCAAAATAATTTTGGATCAAATATGTAGAATAAATTTGGGTCTATGAATAAAAATATCTTAATCATAATATCGTTAAAATCAATTTTTAAGAGATATTCATTTTGAAATTCTCATTTATCACATTTTTATTTTTTAAAATAGTTTTGATAGATTAAAAAAGAATACCTCAACTCTAAAACCAAAGAAATTATCTAATAATAACCAAAGAATAATACTATGTAAAATTTTTTAAACATATGACAACTCTTTAAAATCATATTACTCTAAACTCTTCAAATCAAGAATTTAAACTAATCTTCTCAACATTTTATTATAAAAATATGAGAAGAATTAAATCCATATTTAAAGTGTTTTTTACTCGGAAACATCAACTTTAAGTTCATTATGTAACTACTATCACTCATTTTATTCCTTATCAAATATGATGTGAGTTTTTTTAAGATGTATTATTTGTATTAACCCAACCATCTCCACCATAATTAAAATAAACAAATCTTCCTTTTTTATCTTCATTGTCTACACGGACAATCATTTATACTCCACCATAAAGAATATACTCACTTAAAATTAAATCATTATAAGAATTTCATTTCACTGCACACTTGCATCAATATTAATAAATATTCGTGTATAATCACATACTGTATAATCCAAATTATATCAGTACGTGTCACAAAACATAATACATAATATTCTATTAAATCAAAAACTCTGACACTACAATAGAGTATCCTTCTGAACCATAAACTCTTATATCATTAAAAAAAAAAAAATATCATAAAAGTACAAAATATCCTATTGAATCATAAACTTTGATATCACTCTAATTATAAAAAAAAAAAGAGAGTCTTAAACAACATCCCTATCTATTATCTAATCATAATCGAAAAATAACACATTTATCTAGTCATAATCAAACAATAACAAACAACTCTCTAAAACTATTTTACTCCACATACACTTATAGTTTTCAAATCAACAATTTAAACTAATTTTTTCAACATTTCATCACAACCTATCTTTAATTAGGATAAAACTCATCATAACGCATTTCATTATTTATCGATGTATTCATAAACCCAACAATAATCACTTAATGACAATTTGATATAATGGGTTGGTATGTTTGCCTTTCATCAACTACATTCAATTTCATTTACTCTCTCCCTTTTTTTCTTAAAAAGTAACTATTTTTTTTTTATGATTTTTCTGTATTTTCATTGTATTTATTTTGTATGGTTTATAAACCTGTGTTATACTTTTTATACAAGAGATAGATAGTACAGTTAAAAATCATTTGCAGCATTGCAGTGCGCCGTGTGGAAAAGAAAATCTGTGGGACGATTTGATGCGCAAGAGGGAAAAATAAAAAACACAATGCAGCTGGGAATGAGAGTGGGTGATGTGGTCCCCTGTGGTCATAATAAACATTGCAACACGTGTTAACAAGATAAGGCATGATAACGTTGGACAAAATTGATAAACAGTAAAATTATAATAATAATAATAATAAGAATGAGAAAGGAATGAAGGGCAAGGAAGGTTCTGGAAAGTGGACAAAGGAACGGCTGAAAGCCATATTCGGATGGAGCAGGGGATGGATGAGAGCTTGGACAAGTAACCATTGGCATCACACATCGCCTTTCTTCTAGCGCCTTCTTTTCTCGCTCCTATTTCTCTGTGGACCCCACCTCTCTTTTTATCATTTTTTCCTTTTCTAATTTCCCTTTCATTCTCGAACCCCCGAACACCCCCTTTTTCTCTTTCCTATCCTCTCCATCAATTACTCTTCCCTCCTCCAGAAACTTCTAGAAACAACTACAAACCTACCATCTCTCTCCCTCTCTCTGTCCACACCGTCTTTCCGCTTCTCCGTTGGCCGCGGCTCACAATTCCATTCTCTCGCACTAACTTAATACGTTTCTATCGAACAGATCAAGGTAATGATGTAATATCCAAGATAATAATTATTTGTTTATTATTAGTTTTTTTTTTTTTTACCTTATTCTTTCTGGATAATATCAAGCAGAACAAGGTTTAGTTAGAATTAGATAGGTTATAGTTCTTCACTTTGTTGTAAGTGTAATTTGCCTTATGGAAAGAATCTGTGTAGCAGTGAAGTGCATATCGATGGACTTAGAGCAACTAGTTTATTTAAGAAGGCCGCTATGAGCGCAGAAAAGTGATTAGGTTGCTTAGTTAGGTTTGAGTTCCAGATCTGGTAGCGGAGCTGATGATGGTGCCGTTACCTGCGGAGCAAACCGGTGAATCAGCGCCGGCGGAATCGCAGAGATCCATTCCGACGCCTTTTCTGACGAAGACGTACCAGCTCGTGGATGATCCCTCTGCTGATGACCTAATTTCCTGGAACGAAGATGGCACGAGTTTCATCGTTTGGCGGCCTGCTGAATTTGCACGGGATTTGCTTCCAAAGTACTTCAAACACAACAACTTTTCCAGTTTTGTCCGTCAGCTAAACACATATGTAACCACTGCTCACGAGCTCGTTTTATTTTTCTCTATCATCGAATATTTTCGCAGATGAATTACCTGTATTTGTGCGCTGTTATGTGTAGGGATTTCGGAAGGTTGTCCCCGATCGTTGGGAGTTCGCTAACGACTGTTTCCGGCGAGGTGAGAGAACTTTACTTCGCGACATACAACGCCGGAAAATATTGCCGGTGCCGCCAACGGCGGCACCGGCAGTAGTCACTGCCAATACTGTAACGGTGGCTGTGGCGGCACCGGCGATCAGAACGGTATCTCCGACGACTTCCGGTGACGAACAGGTACTATCCTCGAACTCATCTCCGATTGCTGGAAATATTAATAATACAGTGCACCGCACCACGAGTTGCACCACTGCGCCCGAGCTGTTAGAAGAAAATGAAAGGCTTAGAAAAGAGAACATGCAACTGAATCACGAGTTGAGTCAATTGAAGAGTTTGTGTAATAACATACTCGCTTTGATGACCAATTACGCTTCTGGTTTTAGCCGTCAGCAGTTAGAATCGTCCACGAGTGCTGTGAGGACCGTGCCGCTGCCGGAAGGGAAGGCGCTGGAGCTTTTGCCTGGTAAGTATGTTTTGTCGGCTGAGGACGCCGTGCATGTCGGTGGCGCTGCCGGATCAGCGCCGTGTACGACGGCGAACGCGGCGGAGACAGAGGTTCCCAAGCTGTTTGGGGTTTCGATTGGATTGAAAAGGTGTAGGACAGAGTGCGAGGCCGAACCGGAGGGAGAAGAACAGAATCAAATGCAAACGCGAGCACAGATGCAGGCACAAACACAATCGTCGCAAGAACCAGATGGCGGGCCTGATGTGAAATCTGAACCGCTTGATGGGGATGAGTCGGATGATCAGGATCCTCGTTGGCTGGAGCTTGGGAAATGATGCTTCTTCCATCTTGATCTCTACTAATTTGATGAAATGACATAAGGCACGTGACTTGGGTTGGCACATTACGCACATTAGTGACATTACACTAAGCCAAATCTGCTAGAGCACACCTGCTTGCACTATTAGCGCTGAGACGCTTCCATTTGGCCTCCACGTGACTTGGCCTTTGTTTGTTTGTAGTGAACTCTGCACTTTATGGAAAGGGCGTTGGTTCTTCCCTATAATTCAACTCTTGCCATGAGTGAAAAAGTGCGGATGTCAACTTCGCTTGACCTCCAAACTTCTTTATCCAAGGAAATAAATATTGATGAAAAAGATAATGAAGGGAAGGGCAACCCCTATTTGTGGCATAATGAACATATTTGTATCCAACATTATGATATTTTTAGAATTTATTCATGTATTTTAATGTTTTTATCATATTTATATTTCTTGTACATTTATGGGTGTTTTTCCACTAACTAGGTGAACATTCCTTAGAGGTCATGAGACTGACTTAACATGTTTTTATTTATATGAATTGCCTTTACATTGTGCAAAGTCTAACTACTCTACTAAGCTTATCTGATTTTCAATTGTTTTAATAGAAATTAACTACTTCGAATGTGAAAGGTGTAAGATGGAAGATTCAATAACAAATTAATAGGAATTTGATGTTCAAGTTTAAGTATTTTCACGTTTTTGTTTCATTTATACTTTTTTTTGTTCAATATTTTATAAATTTTATTTTCACCTATGAATGTAACCATTTTTAATGAGAAAAAAAAAATCATTTTTCGTAGTTTGAACTTTTAGAAATTCTTTACTGTATAATTGAAACAATGTCTCCTTTTTGGGTACAAATTTCTCTCCTTTGGAAACATCAACCGATGCACTTCACATAATATATGTGAATTTCTGGGCAAGATAAAATGTTGTGCAAATTGGTAGACTGAAAATGTAGAATGATAGGGTTTTGTTTGTAGTGTTGTAGATCATGTGCCAGTTTTCAATCCAAAAACTTGGCATGATAATTGGGCCCCTGATGTATTTCTTGCACAACAGCTAGGTTCAGTTCAGGGTAGAGAACAAACTTTCCCCTGTCCAACCTGCTGGCGTCTTAAGTACACGCTCACATTCATGTACACAAAGATGGCCCGGTGAAATAAAACTCGGATAGAAGAAAATGTTATTTTTTTTTGTTTCATAAGTAAAATTATTCAAATGCACAAGTTTCGACACTGCAATAAAATATCTTATACAAATTAAATTTGCAAATACAAATACTTGTATATTCGAAAAATTGCCAACATAAAAAGAAAAATCTAACATGTTATTTTCAATGTTTTTTTTTTTTTTTTTTTGTAATCAGTAAGTTAAATTATTACCATCTTATTAGTAAGTAGTACATTGATAAAAGTCCATATATACTGTTAGTAAATTGAAATAGCACAGCAGAAGTACACAAGAAAAAACTAGCTATATATTGCATTGATTTGGTTTTGTTTTATCAACTTATTTTGATCCTGATCCTATTATCTGGAATGTGCCTTTTCTAAACTGTCGATTATCCTCTCTTTCTCTTAGCTCAGATTTATCCAATCTAATTTTTAATCATATGTTGTTAAGGTGTTGCCAAGTATTTAGTCCCATGTAGTATCTCCTATTTCTTTTCAAGTTTTCATTTAATAATACGAGGGGAAAATATGATTACAATTATCATCACTATCTCATCTTCAATCCCTCCTCTTAATTGAGGTTTGATTTGTGTTGTGTAGTATTGGTTGCATTCAATCCTTTAAAGTTCCTTTTCGTACCTGCTTGTCTATTTCACTTCATATATACTATTTTTTTTTAAGAATTTGTACATTAATGAAGGAATTGATTTAAAATGATAAATTATGAAAGGACGTACGAGAATGGTGTGCTTTTATGCTAGAATGGACCAATTAATTCTTAATATAAAAATAGTCTGGACTTTCTATTATAAGAATTTGCCCTAAAAAAAATAAGTCAAGTTCTGCCACTGAGTTTATCATTGATCAATTCAACATGAACTTTCAAGGAAAACTGCAGTGCATGGAAAATTCGTGTAATCTTCAAAAATTCTTGTTCTCATCCGCTGCCCAAGACTCAACGAAATACCACTTTTAGTGTTGTTTGTTTATCAGGTGTTGTTTTCAACCATTGAGATCATTGAAATTCATGGTATCATACAAGTTAAAAAACAAAAAAAGGAACTAATTCTACACTATTACTGTAATTTTGGGTGCAGAAGTATATGTGACTAGGGGTGTCAATATGGGTTCTAACCCGTGAGCCAACCCGGCTCACCACGGGTTCAAGCCGGGTTGGGTTGGATTTTTTTTATTTCTACCGATTATGGGCTAAAAATGAACCTGGCTCATTTAACCCACGGGTTAAACGGGTTCGAGCCGGGTTATGGTGGGTTGACCTGTAACCCACCATTAATTTTAAATTTTAAAAATAATTATAATATATATTAACCTTAATTAATAATTATATTTTAAATTTTAAAAACAATTATAATACTAACCCTAAATGTTATCCTGCCTCATCTCCATCCTATATTGTCGCTGCTGCCACAACAAGTCAAACCCTATCAGCAACACTACGTTTCTCGCTGCACTATCTTATCATATGTTCATCTTCATCGTATCACTACATCACCGTACCCACTGTAGCATCTATACATTATTTGTTGTTTGTTATTGATTTATACGTATATCTCTTTAATATATGAATTTTTGACTTCTTTCTTTCAAATTAATTTACAGTATGGAATCTGAAACAACGCATCAAAGTGTTAATGTGAATTGTGTTGGTGATGATTTTATTGTTAATGAAAAACCCAATGAGCCAATTTCAGTTAATAATGAAGATACTGATGTTGAGAAAAAAAGGAAAAAAGCAAAAGTTTCTACATCCGAAGTTTGAATATATATATATATATATATATATATATATATATATATATTTTATATTTATATTATTTTAAAAAAAATATGGGTTAGTGAGCCAACCCACTTAACCCACCAACCCGTGGTGGATTGAGCCGGGTTGTAAAATTTCTGGCTCACCAAAAAGTGAGCCGGGTTGAGCTCATCTATTTTCAGCTCAACCCATGGTTGGCTCACTTTGACACCCCTATATGTGACTAGAATAATTTATTTGTCGTACTATGTAACTCAAACTTTAAAATCATTACAAATCTTAGCATTGCCAAATACAAATACAAATTGCAATTAAAGAAAACTGATTGATTTTCTTTATAATTGGATATTGCAGAATGGAATACCTGCATACATGTAACATGAATTTATTTTTTCGCGTGTAATAGTAAAAATATCTGAATATTTTAGTTAGTTATGTGAGAAAAGAAATCTATATTTGACTTAAATTTAATTCTTCTAAAAGAGCTGGATCCGAGTAATTATATGCATTAAATGATCTAATTTCCATAAGACAATATTTATGATATCAGTTCTTAATTATGGATTAGATTTTCAAGATTATGTCTTCTTCATCCTTTGAAAACCAATCAGCAAAGAGACTGAGATCAATTATTATATATTGAAATAACATTGTACAGAATTTAAATCAAACATAAAATTGCATACAGAATTGATTTTCCAGTTGAAAGTTAAAATGTAGATCTAATATTACTAAATACTCATGCAGTTCGTAATTAAAGATTTTTTTTTTTAAGAAATAGGTGAACACAGTTGGGTAGATTAAATCTCTTTCTTGGAAATCTATAATTGATGCCAAAAGTTTTATTAATATGACAAAAGTAACTTATAAGGTTATATATATATATATATATATATATATATATATATATATATATATATATATATATATATATATATATATATATATATATATAAATAAGAACTAAGTTTTACAATATTTTGAAGGTTAAAACGGTTTTTACCGAGAAGATGGTCAGCAAGACGTTCGTTGAACGGAAGATGGTCGATAAGACAAAAAGATGAAATCGGTTGATCGATCGTCTAACCAATTTTGAAGACGATTTCCGAGAAAACGTAGAAGGTCGCCTGCAAAAAACATTGCGACGTTGAAATTAGATTTTAGACAAGAGATTGATATATATGAGAATAAGGTTCACTCCATATCCCTTTATATAGTATTTAAAAATATGACAATGGAATGAAATATAATAACTTATAACTCATAAAATAAGAACTAATATAAAATATTATAATGAAATAAAGATAATTAATAACAAAATAAATAAAAGTAATATCTTTAATAGATTTGAGCCAGTAAAACACAATTAATCAACCGAATAATTTTGAACTGGGTAAGTACATTAACTCCAGAAAAGTTGAACGAGGTTATATGTTCAGTCTCTTAATGAATAACTTTAATAAAATAATTAGAATACAAAAAGATGTTACTTTTACTATTATTTTTTTAAAACCTCTCATTACTTTCTCATTTCGCATTTTCTTTCATTGTTCCTCTTTTGAACTTCTCGCTTCTCTTATTTGTGCATTCCTTCCATACACTTGTAACTACCCTCTGTATCAATATGTACGTTCCTTTTTCTTCTACATTATGTCTAATATTGATAGAAATAAACCTAGTTTTGTACCTGTGAGAGAAATGTCAAGCGTTTTAGGACTAGCAAGTAGTTTTGATGAAGAACGCACAATCTTTGTGCCTCTAGAAAACGCTCTGACGATGGATGCTTCCGAGTATATTGTTGAGGAATTCGTTAGGTTTGATCAATGCTGATCAGATAAAACTTTTACAGAATGATCTGCTTGATTCCTAACAGAGAGTGTCCTTTCTAAATACTCAACTGAAGGCTCATGAGGATGTCATTTCTGCTAAGGTCAAGGAAAACGAAACACTTACTTCACGTGCTTTAAAGGATGAAGATGATCTCCGAGTGGAGATAGGTTGAAACAAAGAACTTGTGAACAAGATTACTATGTTAGGAGAGTTTTCTCAGCATAAGGGCC